TGTAGGCCGCCAGTAAGTTAGCTTTTGCCTGCCGGGGTACTGGCTGGAGCGCCGGGGATGCATGCCCCCCCCGGTGAATGCATCAAGGAGTTCGGGTGTGAAGTCCCTTCCCTCGCCCTCGGCAAAGGACCCGGGACAAGCCCATTCGATTTCATCGCCACCCAGATCCCAGGTCCCCCGGCTCGGGGCAGACACTCACCTTCTCGGCAAGGGCTCTCCGGGCGGCAGCCTCACCTCTCCCCCCCATGGCCCCCAGGCAGGGCTTCCCGGGGCCAGGCGCTCGCTCCCACACCCACCGGGGCTTCTCCGCCACCGCCGGGACCCGGGTTCCCACAGAGCGGCGCTGACCCCGCCCCCTGGAGGCCTCGGCCAATGGGGGTGGCTGGGTGGGGCCCGCGGGCGAGTCCCGCCCCCGACCTGCCAGGTTGGATGGACATTCCCGGTGGGAAGGCGGTGACCGCGTCTCCTCGTCGCCGGTGTGACGCGCGGGATCGCTTACTGCGTCTCCTTTCGGCAGCTGGAGCGGGGCCGTGGGAAGCACAGACACACCTCGCCGGGTGGAGGCCGCCGAGCCAGCTCTCGGGAAATTGGTGGAGAACGTGAACAGGCCGTGCGGGGGGGGGGGGCCCTCTGGCTCGCCCGCGTGGAATGCCTCCCGCTGCTGGATTCTGAGCGCTCTCCGTCCCACGTGTGCGGCTTTGCATGGAAGTTGCTGGCCACTGGGATTCTGCTCTGATGGCCATGCCCAAGTTTACTCTGAGCGCGTTAGAAACAGGCTGTGCCCTTCTGGGCTATGATCAGCTTCTCCCGCGCTCCTTCCACTTCGAACGTGCGCCCCTCTCCTCCCCCCTTTTCTTGGTCATAGAGTTATTTGCAATAAACCCTAACGGAAAGGCAATGCTCAAACGGAAACGACTGATTCCTGCAAAATACTAATCGTTCACATTTATGATATTCTTACTTTACCAGGCATGTGTAGGCACTTTATATGTATTAACTCAGTATATCTCACGACATAGTCTATGAACCTCTAGTTTACAGATGAGGGATCAGCGCTAAAAAGTGAGGTTGGGTCAACCAAGTAGTCAGTGGAAGGCTTCCTAGCAGGTCATTATGCAACATGAAATGATTACAATTCCTGCTGCAGCCCTCATCACAGGCCTTTGTGCTCTGGAATTCCCTGAAGGAAAGGCGGTCTGCTCACCTTGTCTTTGCTCTAGGTCGTCATTAACTTTATTACCTAAGAGTTTCAGAGCAGAGGCCGCAGTCTTGCTTTTCTTGTTCTTCGGCTGATGAGAGAAGAGTTAACCATCAGTCACCATACGGCACACAGGTTCACATGTGGATGACTTGGTGGAGAAGGAATAGCATGGGGAGGGGTATGGTGAAAATTGGATGGGAAGGAGATTTATGCCAAATTTGGATAACAAGCCTTAAAATTTAGATTTCTATTTAAACGTTTTGTTTGAACATCAGATTTGAAACTTTTACCTTCATCAAAGATTGGTGAGAATAGTAAACGTGCTCTTAAGTATTATTTATCACATATGTTTAACCAACACAAATAGCATTTATGTGGGCAAGCACTATTCTAAACACTTTACAAATATTTGCTTTTTAAATCGCCATAATAGATACTTTATTAGTCCCTCTCCTCCCTTACAGATAGGAAAGGGAAGCAGATAGAGATTAAGTAACTTGCCTATAGACACATAGCTAATAAGTGCTGGAGCTGGGATGCTAACTAAAGAAGTCTGGCTTCAGAGTCTTACCCCATTTGCTAAATGGATAATTTTTAAAAATGGAGATTTAAAAAACTAAGAATTACTGTTGAGATGATTTTTTTGTAAAAATTGAATTCCGGCTTCTTAGTAAAGTCTATTTTAAGTAGGAGGTACTTTGTTGTAATTCTTGTTTGTTGGTTCTAGAAATAAAGACAAAAACACAGGAAAAAAAAAAAGTAAGCTTATCTAAGATCACTGTTTTCCCAGTTTAAATGTTGCTTATCAGAACTTTACAATATGTTTTCCTTCACTGCCTATTTTAGATGACTTTTTGATATTATGTCATTATAGCACCATAGACTGTCGTTAATTTTGGAGATTTTTATTCCTAATAGAAAGTATGGTGTTTATTTAACTAAAAGAAGAACATTCAAAAATCTACAATTAGCCCTCTCCACAACTCTGGGAAGATTCCTTTCTGACTCAAAACTTAGGATGTGATAACACATGAGGTCCTCTGAAATGTCAGCTCCTGACTTAGTGGTCTTGTAGACTCCGTAGTGATGGTCCAAATAATGAACAAACATTGAGGCTTCAAGGAACAAGGCCACAGGCCCTTTGAACAGTGCAGGGGCCTGATAGGGTCCTTATTGTATAAGGCTTCAACCCTTCAGTTGCTAAGGTTCCTGGGGCAGGGATGGGGTGACTAGGCAGGAGGGGTGGTTTTGGGGAGGGGGCTTGAGACTATTTGCAGAAGTTACAGTCCTGTCTAGCATTATGCCAAGTCTACTACTGGGAATTCATGATTCCTTATTTTTTTCCTCAATCAGTCTAGCTAGGAGGTTATCAATTTTTCCAAAAACCATCTCTTACCTTTATTGATTTTCTTTACTGATTTTAAAAAGTTCATTGACTTCTGCTACTATTTTTATTATTTTCTTTCTTCCGTATTGAGTTTAATTTGCTTTTCTTCATCTAGCTTCTATGGTAGAAACATAGATCATTTATTCTAAACCTTTATTCCTTCTAATATAAGCATTTAAAGCTAAATTTGCCTTCAAATTTGCCTAGCTATATCCCACAAAATTTTAGATGTTTTTGTTATTAACTAGAGGCCCAGTGCATGACATTCGTGCACCAGGGAGGGGTAGGTCCCCTCAGCCTGGCCCTTTGGCAGCCCCGGAACCCTCAGGGGATGTCCAACTGATGGCCAACATCCTTAGCGCTGCTGCAGAGGCTGGAGAGGCTCCTGCCACTGACACTGCACTCACCAGCCATCAGCCAGGTTTGTGGCTGAGCAGCACTCACCCTATGGGAACTCACTGACCACTAGGGGGCAGCTCCTGTGTTGAGCATCTGCCTCCTGGTGGTCAGTGCACATCATAGTGACCTGTCAGTCCTCCAATTGGTCGATTTGCATATTACCCTTTTATTATATAGAATCAGTTAAAAATATTTTGAAATTTTCTCTGTGATTTCTTTTTTGATGCACAGATTATTTAGGAATGTGTTGTTGATTTCTAAATATTTGGGATTTTTTTCAGATATCCTTCTGTTATTGATTTCTAACTTAATTCTGTTTTGGACATAGAACATATTCTGTATAATAATAGACCTTTGACATTTATTGAGATCTGGTTTATGGTCTATTTTAGTGAACGTGCCAAGTGAAATGGGAAAGAATTTGTATTCTGCAGTTTGGGGTATAATGTTTTATAAATGTCAATTAGGTTAAATTGCTTGCTCAAAATCTAGTTTATTACTGATTTTTAAATTAGTTCTGCCAATTACTGAGAAAGAAGTGTTAAAATCACCTGTAATTGTGAGTTTGTCTATAAATTTAGTGCTGTTAGTTTTTGCTTCATGGGTTTTTGAAGCTTTGTCATTTAGTGAATATACACACAGGACTGTCAGGTCTTCTGAGTCTATAGACACTTTTAGCATTATTAAATATTCCTGTTTATTTATAGTAATACTTTTTTATTTGATTGTACTTTGAAATTTATATAGCTAAGCCAGATGTTTTATTGTGAGTTTACATGTTATACCTTTTTCTCTCTCTTAACTTCTAACTTATCTTTATATTTAAAAGGTATTTCTTATAAATAAAATATAGATGCATTTTTTTAAAATCTTTACCTGAGGATATGTTTATTGATTTTGAGAGAGAGAGAGAGAGAGAGAGAGAGAGAGAGAGAGAGACATTGATAGATTGGCTCCTTCATGCACCCTGACTGGGGATCAAACCTGCATCCTAGGTATGTGCCCTGACCAGGAATCAAACCTGCAACCTTTCAGTGTATGGGACGATGCTCCAACTAATTGAGCCACCTGGCCAGGGCTGCACTTTACTTTTTTTAACTAAACTTTCAATCTCTGATTTCATTTCTATTTAGTGTGTGTACATGTTTTGTAATTATTGATATAGTTGGGTTAAGTACTGAAGAAGTTCCTTTAACATTGGTTATAGTGAGGATTTGCTAGCAATAGGTGCTCTCCATTTTGTTTTTTCTGGGGGGAAAAAGTCTTTGTTTTTGTCTTTGAAAGTGATATTTCCTTGGTACAGAAGTATAAGTTGGCAGTATTTTCTCTTGGAACTTTAAGGATATTGATGTTGTTGCATTGTTTTTTAGCTCACATTGTTTCTATTAAAAGGCTGTGACTATTAATTTGTGTCTCCCCCCCCCCCCCCACCCCATGGGATGTAATGTGCCTATTTCCCCCCTCTGGCTGTTAAAAAATTATTTTTATCACTTATTTTTATTAATTGGGCTTTTATTTGCCTTGGGGGGATTTTCTTCGTGTTTATCCTGTGTGGGTTCATTTGAGATTCTTGAATATGTGGATTTATCCTTTACATTAATTTAGAAAATGTTGGCCATTATTTCTTCAAATATTTTTTTCTACCCCCTCTCTTCTAAGACATCAAATACTCACATGTTTGACTGCTTACTATAGTCTTATGAGTCTATAGTCTATGAGTCACTGAGGCTCTGATGTTTTATCTCTTGCTTCAGTTTGGATACCTTTGATGGCTATCTTCCCAGTTTACTGATCTTTATCTTTATTGTATTATCAAGTCCACTGAA